TGGCAAGTTCGACTGGGAATCAAGACGAGTGATCAACAAAATATGAGAGCGGTGATACAGATAAAGTTGAGGAGAACGTATTCGCCATCTGGTGAACTTCTTGCCATTGCAACAACCAACAAAGTCCCGAGGGAACGCGTCGCATCTCTGATCAAGGCTTACACAGAACATTACTGCCCACTCGCGTGGACGCCTGGCTAATGGCACATGGCTTTTTTCAGGAGGCGATAGACACAATCCTACCATACGAGAGTGGGATTCATCGACCTGGCAGCAAGTCGGTCGTCCCTACGAAGGCCACACTAGCATTATCCGCGCCACTGCCATTCATCCCACTGACACCCTTGTCGCTTCTGCATCTGAAGACAGTGACCTTGACCTACTCTGGCAGTTCTCAGATCGACGAACCATCGCCATCTTCCAGCACTCATCCAGACTGAAATGCGCCACTTCCTCCGTGGACGGCAAGCACATCCTCAGCGGAGGTGAAGAAAAAAGATCTCAGAGTGGGAAGTACCCAGTGACACTAATTCAAAGGCGAGTTTCCATCTTGACTGAGACTCATGGCGCAATTCGAGTATCCTTCGTACAGATCCTAGCTATCACGACAGCCCGTGATGCATGTTTGATGGGAGACCTGTCTAATACCGCTGAAGAGTTACTCACCCAAGAGATCCACACTGGTGCCAACCCTTATACCTCCTATGCCAATCGCTCGTTCGTTATGCTCGAAAACACGCCTGGGATCATGCCCTTGATGATGCAAACAAGGTGAGTTATACATGACCTATCATAGCACTCTTACTAAAGGTTTACTTTCGTTCGTGACATAGTCCATCAACATTCAGCCCTCATTAACAGGCTACATCTCCAAAGGCATCGCCCTCTGCGGAAAAGGCCACGTCCGAGAGGCAAGGGCAACATTTGACGTCGCATCCTTGTTCACGGACCAAGGAACCAACCGTTTTATTTTCTTGATAAAGGTAGCATCAATTTGTCTCGCATATTCCCTGGTTCATTGCGTGTTTGAGGCCATTGCCCCCTTCAACGCAGATCAATACGAGGAAGCAATGCTGCTCGTCCAAGAACTCACTGCCACTTGTCCGAATGCCTATCCTCTTGGGTGTCGTGCTGTGTCGTATCGGTAAGGATCATGCGGCCACGCCCGGTCATCAAAAACTATTCATGAAATATTTGGGGAATTGACCGCACACATAACGCTTTTCATAATTGGGTGTTTTGTCTAGCTCTTCGGCTGGGACCTCGAGTCCTCCGGGAGTTGGCGCAGGAACTGATATGAGCGAGGAGCAAAGCGCTGCAAGCAATGCTGACACCTTTGAAATTTAAGATTTGGATAAAACACGCATTGAAAGACGGAAACTCCTCCATGAGGGGATTTGAGGGGCGAGAAAGGAGAAATGTGGTAGCATCTGGTGTACAGGCAGATCTCGAGAATCAACGAGATGGGCAGATGGTGTTGCAGTATGCACTCGGATAAGTTACACGATGAAGTGTTGGAGAAACTGCTCGACACGAGAAACGATGATATTCATGCGGCAATCTATGTAGGATAGATAACTTTCGACCAAATTCCAGGGCCGGGAAGTAGTAACTGCAGAAAGGACAGGCATTCTGAGTGAGAGCTCTTCTACACTGTTACCGAGCCCAATATTGTCCACGTAGGGTAGGTGAGAGATCGAGGGTAGAAAGATGGAGAAATGCGCTGAGAAGGTGTGAAGGTGCTGCTAGTAAGCACTGCGAAAATACAGTTATCAGTGCAAATAGTCGATCTTGTCATCGTTGTCCTTTCAGACCTTGGAGAGAACGGGCATCAAAATTCAAGACGCACCGTATAGACATGATTTGCAGACTCTTTATACTACTCTACAGCGGGTGGTGAGGTGAGGGATCGCGACACCTTAGATCTGAAAGTTCTTGCACCGTGAAAAATTGCCTGAAAGTTGTGATATTCACTTGATGTCTCAGTAGGGCCGAGGATTGGGCCCATGTATCCCGTGATCGGTAACATAACATTCCTGAACACTGCAGTGACATGTCAATAATTAAATGCGGGTTCGCATAGCTTTGACTGTAGTGAGAGCTCACCTATGTTAGTAGAGTGTGGTGACCGTATTGCATACTTATGTGGTGCAGGATTGCAACAAGAATGGACATGGAAAGGTGATTGGTAAACGAGACAAACTGAAACCAAATGGGCCAGGAGTTGGCTGAGGGATTGAGATGAGCGAGGAGCAAAGCGCGCTGACAGCTTTGAAAATTATAATTTGGATAAGACGCGTGTTGAAAGACGGAACCTCCTTGATTAAGAGCGGACTTGAAAGGCGAGAAGAGAAATTCTGTAGCATCTGGTGCACAGGCAGATCATGATGAGATGTCATTTGCAGTAAGCTATTTGCACTCGGACAAGTTACATGATGAAGTGTGAGAGAAACAGCTCAACACGAGAAATAATGATATTCATGCGGCAATCTAGGATGGATAATTTTCAGTTAAATTCGAGGACCAGGAAGTAGTTGCCATATGTGGATGGGATATATTCTGAAAGCTGTGGAGACACGAGCCTGACGCATGTACACAGTTGAGTCGAGGAAGTTCGCCATGACCCTTGCAGTAAGCATGCACCCTACGAGTCACGACCGCCTGCCTCGTGTCTTGGGCGTCTATGGAAACGAGGTTGGTTAGTGTGGTGAAGCAGTGCACACTCTGCAGTTTAGAGAAAGACACCCACAAACCCTCGACCGTGCTCAACACTATCAACGTCCAGTAAAATGTCACAGCCCATTCCAAGCACCAGACTCGTTCGAGTTTTTGAAGATCATGAAGGGGGCGTAAAGGCAGTCGCAGTTTTCCCCGATAAGCGAAGAATGGTTACAGCATTGTACGACAAGACACTTCGTCTTTGGGACTTGAAGACAAGTGCTGTGTTGAAGAAGACGAAGAGGCATCGCATTGGGGTGTCGACATTGGCGGTATCACGAGATGGTCAAATAATAGCAAGCGGTGATTATGGCGGAGAAATCATCGCCTGGCACGGCGAAACTTTAGAGTCCCTCACCCAACCCATCAAAGCCCAAAGCCTTCAAATCACCTCCTTGGATTTTGCTCCGGATGGTACAGTGCTGGCCACTGACTCGGATGATTATACGGTGAAGCTTTGGTGTACCAAAACGTGGCAGATACAAGGAGAACCAATCGAGTGTGGTGGTGTGGTCCGCTGCATTCGACATTCGCCGTCTGGTGAACTTCTTGCCATCGCCACCAACACCAATATCCAAATTTATAATCCAGGTACAAGGGAACGTATCGCATCTTTCAAGGCCCATAGATCGTACAACTTATCTCTTGCGTGGACACCCGATGGCACACGCCTTCTTTCAGCGGGCAATAGTTCAGATCCTACCATACGGGAGTGGGATTCATTGAGCTGGCAGCAGGTCAGTCATCCCTGGGAAGGCCACACTAGCAGTATCAACGCCATTGCCATTCATCCCGCTGGTACCCTCGTTGCTTCCACATCTGATGACAACCATATATGTCTCTGGCGGCTCTCAGATCGACGAATCATCGCCATCTTCCAGCACTCATCCAGACCTAAATGTGTCACGTTCTCTTTGGACGGCAAGCACATCCTCAGCGGAGGTGATGATAAAAAGATCTCAGAGTGGGGAGTACCCAGCGACGTTAATTCAAAGGCAAGTTTCCATCCTTGACTCTCATAATGCAATTTGAACATTCCTTGTGCAGATCCTGGAAATTACGACAGCCCGCAAGGCATGCATTGCTGGAGACCTAGACACCGCTGAAGAGTTACTCACCCAAGAGATCGACACTGATGCCAACCCTCACACTTATGCGCATCGCTCATTCGTTATGGCCCGAAAACACGACTGGGACCATGCTCTTCAGGATGCAAACATGGTAAGTTATACCGACCCATCACGGCCCCCCTACAAAAAGCTGACTTTGATCCGTGACACAGTCCATCAGCATTCGGCCCTCATTGACAGGCTTTATATCCAAAGGTATCGCCCTCTGCGGAAAAGGCCACGTCCGGGAGGCAAGGACAGTATTTGACGTCGCATCCATGTTCACCAACCAAGATTCAGATACTAACCATTTTCTTCTCTTGATAAAGGTAGGTCAAATTCGTCTCGCACAGCTCTACCTCATTCCGTATTTCAGGCCATCGCCCTGTTCAGCGCAGATCAATACGATGAAGCAATGCTGCTTGTCAAAGAACTCGCTGCCGCTTGTCCGAATACCGATCCTCTCGCGCGTCATGTCGTAGAAGTAGGTATCACACAGTCACGTTCGGTCATCAACGCTGACCTTTGTCACTCGTACATTAGACATATCTACGTATTCAGCTCGGAACCAAAGCCTCAGATGATGCGCGTCACGACGAAGCCACTGATCATTTCACTGCCGTTGTCAACGCCAGCGCTCTCTCGTCGAAGTTCATTCATCTAACATATGAGGATTTGACCGTTGTGCGCTAAGCTGATACATACCTAACGCTTTTCTAACTGAGTATTTTGACCAGCTCTTTAACTGGGATCTCGAGTCCTTGTTGCTCACGACACACCAGAAACGGTACCAGGCATTCCTTTTGGCAGGTAAACCCGTTGAAGCCCTTGAAGCACACCAATGCATGATGGATGCCATTGACGACACTACGAAGGCCAGCTGCCTCGATTGGTCCAACGGCATGTTCTCAGTGATGACACCCGAGGCTATCATACTCACCCGCATTTCACTCAGAATTTAAGGAGCAATGTAGCACGCTCGCTGCGCATGATGACCGTATTCTTGGTGTATGTACTCCCTTTCCCATCCCTTTCTCTATTGACTCGTATGCAGATGGAGATCCCCAGGCAGGATCGGGATGGCTATGACGCAGAACCCAATTTCTTTCAGGGAATGCATCAGGTGCGTGCAACAGCGGATCCTTCTTCTTTTCTCTCTCACGTCGTTCATTACAGAATTCTCAAATTGTCCGGTCACGACCTCGACAACGTCCTGGGCGCCTCCAAAGACTCAGGCTTGCTATGACGAGAAGCCCTCATTCAGCTCCTCCACCTGTACCACCCACCACTCCACCGCCAGTCGCCGCCACCATCACCTTCAGAACCCATCTACAACACCTATTCACCCGGCCACCTCATCATGCAACGCCGCCCGTCGTCGAAGTTCCTTTCGCGAAGGGCAAAGAGGTGGGCCCGTCCATTTTCATCACCGTGTCTTGGGTATCTGATGCATAATCTATAGCGTAATGCTGCAGCGGATGCTCCTGACAAGGACTCGAACATCGTACCTTATGAAGATCAAGATCTCGTTGCTACTCAACCGGACCCTAATACACAGCAGCAACAGCAACAGCAGCAACCAGTAGCAGTCCATGTAGACCCTGGCGAACATGGAGGCGGGAAGTCGTGTGTCTGCTGCTAGCGGGTTTTATCGGTGTCCCTTGGATATTCCGATTCTACTACCGCTGGTATTGCAACATGTACGTGGACAGCACTTATTTTATCGATAGGTAATGGCTATCCTTCAGATCATTTCGCGCTATCGTCCATAACTAATTATAATCATCAAACTCGTGTCTCCATAATATGTACAGCTTGGCTTGCGCATATGGATATGATTTATGTAACGAAATTATTTGCTATTCGGGGGAGACCATAGCTTGACGCATATAAGAGTGCATGCAAGTGCTTATAATATTAGAAAAATTGATCTGACTCAAGTAGCCTTGAAGTTACGCTGGCCAACTACTAACAGTTGCAGGTTCCCCCCCTTTTACCCACCTTGAACATCCACGGATCCTTCATGACGTCTATCTTGCGTAGTCATGGCCAACTAGCGCCAGAACAGATTATTCTGAAATCTGCTCTCCTGCGACAAATCGTTTTTTCTCCTGATCACACCTTGACATTCACTCACAGACAGTTCCCGGAGACTCGTCTTAACTTCGCCCTGGCGAAAGCGGTTACCACGACAGAATCGAAATCTGTTTCTCCTGGACTGCGCAGGTTCGAAACCTGCCGATAAATCATTTTTCCATCTTATCATACCTTGACGTTTATTCATCGACAGTTGGTCGGAGAGGAATCACAAGTTCCTCCTGGGGAAAGTGGCTACCACAACGGAATTGAAATCTGTTTCTCCTAGACTGTGCATGTTCGAAACCTGCCAACACACGCCTTTTTTTCTATTAGAACAGGCCTTGAAGACTCACTCGTGGATGATTTCCTCGGAGGACCATCTCAACTGGTCTTAGTCAGGTGGTCACGCAACAGAGTTGAAATCTGTTCCTCTTCAAGTTGGACTGCGCAAGTTCGAAACCTACCAACGACATGATGTTTTTTACTCTAGCACAAGTTTCAAGAACATGGGGAGGACATATGAATTTTTGTCTTCTTGCGCCACAACGCCCACATCACGAGTGCCCCATGGGATGGCATGATGCAGAAGTGGAACAGTACTGTGACACAGGAGGTCTTGTTGGATAATAAAAAGGCAGTTGGAACACCCAGGTTTGAAATCTGCAGATGACGAGGTTTTTCTTCTATCGGAACACCCTGACATTGACTCATGTGGTTCCCTCCGGTGTCCATATAACTGGCCTTAGCCAAGTGGTTACCACAACAGAGTCGAAACCTGTTTCTCTTGGCTTGCGCAGGGTCGAAACCTGCCGACCAAAATGTTTTTTTATCGGAACACACCTTGACATCCACTCATGGATAGGTTTGTCGGAGGTCCATCTTGACTGCTCTAAGCGAAGTGGTTACCACAACGCAATCAAAATCCGTTCCTCTTGGACTGGGCAGGTTCGAAACCTCCCAAATGACAGTTTTTGTCTATCAGAACATACCTTCATATTGGCTCATGAATAGTTTCCTTGAAGGTCCCTCTATCAGGTCTTGGTCAAGTGGTTACCACAACAGAGTCGAAATCTGTTTCTCTTGGCCGGCGAAGGGTCGCAACCTGCCGACAAATGTTCTTTTTATATCAGAACACACCTTGACATTCACTCGTGGATGGTGTTGTCGGAGGTCCTTCTCAACTCCTCTCAGCCAAGTGGTTATCATAACGGAATCAAAATCTGTTCCCCTTGGACTGGGCAGCTTCGAAACCTTCCCAGTGTCATTTTTTTTTCTATCAAAACACACCTTCATGTTGGCTCATGAATAGTTTCCTCGGAAGCCCTTCTATCTGGTCTTAGCCAAGTGGTTACCACAGCAGAGTCAAAATCTGCTTGTCTTGGAATTGGTTCGAAACCTACTGACATCATTTTTGCGGTGTATAGATCCTCGGAGGTACGTCTTAACTAGGCCCAGTCATTACGCCGAAACCTCTTTTATAGTCCATCCATGAACAGGAATTCACCTTCATGGCGC